TCGTCTTTCAAATAAATAAATAAATCTTTTTAAAAAATGGGTGGATTTTATGTGAATTATATCTCAATAAGCTATTTAAAAAAAAAAGCTGAAATGAGAGTTGAACAGATACAGTTGTTTTTGCATTTATAAAAATTGCCTAGCATATACTGTGTTATCAAGACGTTATCAGACGGGTTGACCTTTGCCTGCTGGTTCAAGTTTAGTCAGAACGGTTTTTAAAAAAAGTATTTATTGCTTTTAAATTACAGAAGAGTATTACAGAGAGTGAAAGAAATAAGATTATTTGGAGCAGACTCCAGATGTTTCCTCCTCCATCTGCTTAAAGTTGGAGAGTTTGAGTGCTTCCTTGTGCTGAGGTGGCTTTAAATACTTGGAGTTTAACTTAACTGGAGCTACTGTTTTGCAGTTGTCTTAAGATAAAAGAATCTGCCTTATTGGGAGATGCTAGGCAGTAATAACAAAACTGTTTATAATTCTTAACCTCCAAAAAGATCCTTAAGGAGACAGTGCAGAGGCTTCCTTCACTAGATTTTGCAACTCATTTGAAATCAAAGACTGCCCGATGACAAACAGGGGAGTCTGGTTATTATGTGGTGGGTTTTCTTTGTTTTTGTTTTTTTTTGTTTTAAGATTTACTTATTTATTTGAAAGGCAGAGTTATAGAGAGGCAAAAGGATAGAGAGAGACAGAGACAGAGAGACAGAATCTTCCATCTCCTGGTTCTCTCCCAAGTGGCCACAACAGATGGAGCTAACTGATCCAAAGCCCAGTGCCTGTATGGGATGCCGGTGCTGCAGGCGGCGGCTTTACCCACCATGCCACAGCGCAGGCCCTGACAACTAATGTTATCAGCATCTTGTTTTCTTTCCAGAGATATTTTATTAATGCATTCCAAATAATACTATTTTAGAAAATGTGACTTTCTTTATTTACATTGCAATCATGAGAATATACTATGGTCACCTTTTTTGAACAGTAATATCATCATTTTTCTGATTTAAAGATTTCCTGGGGGCCGGTGCTGTGGTGTAGTAGGTTAAGCCTCCGCCTGAAGTGCCAGCATCCCATATGGGCACTGGTTTGAGTCCTGGCTGCTCCATTTCTGAACCATCTCTCTGCTAATGCCTGGGGAAACAGTGGAGGATGGCCTAAGTGCTTGTGCCCTTGCATCCACGTGGGAGACTGGGAAGAAGCTCCTGGCTCCTGGCTTCAGCCTGGCTCAGCTCCAGCCATTGTAGCCATTTGGGGAGTGAACCAGCATACAGAAGATCTCTCAGTCTCTGTCTGTCTGTCTCTCTCTCTCTCTCTGTAACTCTGCCTTTCAAATAAAATAAATAAATCTTTAAAAAAAAAAAAAGATTTCCTTTACCCTAAACTCTGGGTACAGATGTAGCTTAGGATGTATAACTTCTGGAGATAGCTTATCTCATGCGTTGTGTGTGTATACAGTTTCAGAGTATCTTTTTACCTCTAAGGTCTAGGAATATTTTTCTCTGAGCTTACATTTGCTTCCTATGTACAGATTCTGATGCCAACAATGGTAGTGAAATAATGCATTCTTTTTTTAAAAGATATATATATTTATTTGAAAGGTAAACTTATAGAGAGACAGAGGCAAGAGGCAGAGAGAGAGAGAGAGAGAGAGAGATCGAGACATCTTCCATCTGCTGTTTCACTTCCCAAGTGGCCACAATGGCTGGAGCTGGGCAGATCTGAAGCCAGGAGCCAGGAGCTTCTTCCAGGTCTCCCACGTGGGTGCAAGGGCCCAGGGACTTATACCATATTCTACTGCTTTCCCAGGCCATAGAAGAAGCTGGATTGGAAGTAGAGCAGTTGAGATTCAAACTGGCACCTGTACAGGATGCCAGCACTGCAGATGGTAGCTTTACCCGCTGTGCCACAGTGCCGGCCCCAAAATAATGCATTCTTACATCAGGCTCTTTGTTATTCATTATTTTAATATTCAAAATTTCAAAAATGCTGGGCTTTGTTGGTTGGAACCAGGTAGAATTAGGCATAAAGTGAGGAGAAATTAAAAAGCAAAATCTGGCACTGTGATTCTGGTACATTTTCTATTCTTTGTTCTTTAATCTCTCTTTACACCCATTCTAACCTAAATTATGCCTTTAAATTAACCTACCGAGGGACACTACTGTTAGACTTGAATTACATAACTGTTAAGTCTGGACCACTAAGATCCTAAGTTTTTTTGAAATTTGTTTGGGTTGCCTATGAGGGAAAGGAAAGCAAGAGTTGTCAGTTTATTCTCTTTCTTCCCAATCAGGCAGCAACTAAAGAACAAAGAGTTACCAAGTATCTTTATAGAAACTTTGGGGAATTGATCCAGTATTTGACAAACAACTCAGTCTAGAAGACTTGTGCTGTCCTTCTAAAAGTGTTACATATTTTTTTTTCAAGAACAAGGAATAAAAGAGAAAAGAAAAGGACTGTGTATGTTGGGGGCGGGGAGGTGCTTTGATTCAATTTTTTTTTTTATTTTATTTTATTTATTTATTTATTTTTTTTTTGACAGGCAGAGTGGACAATGAGAGAGAGAACAGAGAGAAAGGTCTTCCTTTGCCGTTGGTTCACCCTCCAATGGCCGCCGCGGCCAGCGTGCTGCGGCCCGCACCGCGCTGATCCGATGGCAGGAGCCAGGAGCCAGGTGCTTTTCCTGGTCTCCCATGGGGTGCAGGGCCCAAGCACCTGGGCCATCCTCCACTGCACTCCCTGGCCACAGCAGAGGGCTGGCCTGGAAGAGGGGCAACCGGGACAGAATCCGGCGCCCCGACCGGGACTAGAACCCGGTGTGCCGGCGCCGCTAGGCGGAGGATTAGCCTAGTGAGCCGCGGCGCCGGCTGATTCAATTTTCTAACACTAGGATGGTTTGAGTGGCTGTCCACACAGTGTCCATTGAATTCTAGGAGATAGGGTGTACTGTATGGCTATAGTAAGACTTTTTCTCTATGTAAAGCTTAATGATTCCTCTCAAATCTCATTATTACCACCCAGTTCTTATATATACAAATATGAAATGTTGTCTTTAATGGGTAATAAGAGGATGTTCTCATCTCAGACAGAAATGGCATAGGATAACATCAAGGCATTGTTACAAACTTACATTCTTTCATTGAGGAGGGGCACATCTCGGGCCACCCTAAGGACACAGAGAAAAATCAGACCTCAGATGTAGCTGTACTTCTTTTTGGGAGGAAGTATTTTTAAATTTTGAGAAATGTTCACGACTTGCCCCAGCTCTCACTAGAAGTGTAAAACCTTCATTAGAAAGGTCCAGGGATCTGTTTCAATTGCACGCAGCGAGTTAGCAGCAGAACTAAGATATAAACCCTTACTCACTGACTCCTTTCACCATATTATATAACATTTGGGGCTTCCCTGTTGTTAAGAGTGGAAATGTGTTGCCTCATATGCATAAAATTCTTTCTGCCACATCAAGTTCTGTGTGTACCATCTCTCATGTTGGCCCTGGACCGGACAACCTTTGTGCCAGGGACAATAAATGCAGTTGTTCTCATTTTGTAGACAAGATTGCAACAAAGAAGACAAATCGTAGTCTATATCAGTCAAGACTAGAACCCATTTCTCCCAATTCCCTCTCCAAGGCTCTTTCACAGTGCCATCTTGCTAGCCTGGTACCTTCCATCAGTGAACTTTGGAAATCAAGTTTGAGACACCAGAATGTGCTCTCCTGCATGGAGCCTCGATGTTAAACTGAATTCTCTAGTTTTTCACAAATCTGTAGCAATTAAGACTTGGAAGTATGAGGAAACTACTGTTTTTGGGGGGGACTTTGTTTCTGTTTTGGAAGGTAGAGAAATATCTCCCTCTCACTGGTTCACTCCACAAAGGCTCACAACATCCAGGGCTGGGCTAGACCTAAGCCAGGAGCCTGAAACTACATGTGGATCTCCCACATGGCTGGCAAGGACCCAAGTACTTGAGCTATCTATCACCTGCCACCTCCCAAGGTGCATATTAGTAGGAAGCTGGATCAGAAGCTGAGCCTGGACTGTGAATTCAGGTACTCCCATGTGGGTGGGCATCCCACACAGCGCAATAACTGCTGTGCCAAACACCCACACCTTTTTTTTTTTTTAAACAAAAGCATCCTAATCAAGTTGAAACAAAATTGTAATACATGAAATGGGAGGAAAGAGCTATCAGTAGTAGTCCCCCTTATTTCGACCCACATTTGTCTCTATTTTCATGATTGACTTTCCCAAGCCAGAGGCAGGTGGCCAAAGAGCATTTCAAAGTCAAGTGGTCCAAAGAACACCGGACAGGTTGGTGGGTGGAAAACCCAGCCCTAGATGAGTGCAGGATCCCAGCTCCAGACTAAGACCGTCTCAAGTCTCAAACCTGGTGTTGCCTTAAGACCGCTAATCTCTAGGTGGTTTCCTTCACTGTGCAATGAGGGGACCGAGTCAGTGTGCATACCTGAAGTTAAAACTAAGACTACCCAGGTTTTGCATACTTAAATTCACAAACGTCATTTAACATTTAAAGCAATAACAGAGGTCTTTAAAAAGTTCAAGAAAATGCGTATTATGAAAAACTATGAGTGGATTTCTTTTTTCTTTTCTTTCTTTTTTTTTTTTTTTTTTTTTTTTTTTTTTTTTTTTTTTGCACCAAAATAAGCCCTATGAACGCCATCTCCACGAACTTTTAAAGTGCCCCCTCATATATGTACAGAAACATTTGAAATCCATGCACACAGGAGAGTCCTTGGTCGGAAGTTACACACACCCTTTCCCTGAGACGCCAGTGGACCTCGTGGCGGGCAGTACAAGCATCAGCGGACTGACAAACTAAAAAGGGCAAGCCCGGAGACTCGGCACGGTTGCCACAGCCCGGACAGTTCCTAATTCGGGGCGGCCCCGCGTGCGGGGCCCAGTGCTCCGCAGCCCACCACCTGTTCCCGGCAGCCAATGGGGCGGAGGGGGAAGGCCGGGGCGGGGCGCGGCTACAAAAGGCCACGGACTGCACGCGCCCGTACACCCGCTTCGGTCGCGCTCTCGGGAAGCTCGGGCTGACGAGGCCGTGCGCCGGGAACATTCCGCTCGTGGACCAGCCGGACCTGGGCGATGCTGCGGGTGCGGTGTCTGCGTGGCGGGAGCCGCGGCGCCGAGGCGGTGCACTACATTGGGTCTCGGGTGCGTGCGCCACCCACCTTGTCTGGCGGTCTCGCGTCTCCCCTTTTGCTGGGCTCAGCGCGCAGAGCGAAGAGCGGCTCCCTCCCGGGCCCGCCGCGTTCCCTGCCTTTCCCCCAGACAGAATTGCTAGAGTCTCCGTGGCCCCTTCCTTGGAGGCCGAGCTTCAAGAGCTGTGGCTGCTGGGAACTTGGCATTGTTTCCCTCGGGCAGGGGGCGCGCAGGGGGCGCGCGTGACGGCCCCAACCCGTGGGGGGCACAGTTGCTCTACGCGTTTTGGGCCACCGCAGCTCAAGGGTTGCTGTTTTCCTCAACCTGACAGCTTTCCACCCAGGGAGAGGGGATGCTGCAGACCGGGGGCTCCATTTTGAAGTGTGGCGTTGTTGGGGTTCAGTGCTCTGGATGTGCAGAGAGTTGGGAGAGCTTTGGGGAGATGCGTGTGGGGTGGCTGGAGTAGAGGGTAAGTGGGAACTGGGGACGGAGTGCTACCATGCAGGCTCACTCCTACGATAACATGGAGTCCTGGAATCACAAGCGGAGTTGAGTTGAAGCAAGTTCAGCCCTGAACCCGGAGTTTCTGCCTAGCCCCGCCCTCCACTTCTCTGGGATGTCGGGTTGCGCCTGCAGACCCTCCCTTGCTCTCAGGACAGGAATAGCTCAGGGAGCCTGGCTTCCCCAGCAGCTGGGTCCAGAACAGCTGTCACTCTCCCTCTGGCTTTGGTCTCCAGCCCTGCTGCCCTCCTTCCCCTTTTAACAGCATGCAGAAATTTGGGTGGTTGAAGTTTGCCCGGTGGCTGAGACTCTCTCCATGTTCCACCTCTTATAGGACCTGTATTTCTGAAGGACTTTTTGCAATTCTTAGATTTCCTTTTGAGTTGTTCAAATCTGTGCCTGGGTAAACCTTATTTTGACTAGGGTACTGTGTGCCATCTGTAAAATGCAGCAGATGGCAGCTGGTCATCTCAGTGCCATAGAACAAGAAGTGGATGTAAGAGATGAACATTGCTGAGTCTGAAGTTGATTTTTCTGAAGGATAAGGCCCTATTGTGCACCTGCTTCCACATTGCCATTTGTAAAAGTTAATACTTTTTAAAAGGCCTAATGTTAGTAACCTTTGATCCTGAAGGGTGGAGGAGGCTCTCTCGCCTGGCAGGACTTGGCAGAGATCTGTGAAGCAACTTTCTGTGGTTTTCTTTAGAAAAGTTGCTGAAAGTTTGATGAAAGCTTGTTTACAGAGATCTGATCTGAGGCCTAGATGATGGTGTATGGTCACCAGACACAAAAATCTACTTAGGAGTTTTAAGGAGTTACAGCGAATAACAATAGCTAAAAAGGCAATATGCACATGAACTAGAAGGTGGATAATCACCTGTAATCCCACTATGCCTATGCACTATTGGTTTATCCTCTCCTAAGGGACTTTAAATGTCTGACCATATTACGCTGGGTTTTCACCCCATCTCTCCTTCCTCCTCCCAAGTATTCTATAGGGCTGCACAATAACCTCTTGTTGTTTTCGTTCTTGAAAGCTTGGAAGAACCGTGACAGGATGGGTGCAGCGAACTTTCCAGAGCACCCAGGCAGCTACAGCTTCCTCCCAGAACTCCTGTGCAGCTGATGACAAGGCCACTGATCCTCTGCCCAAGGACTGCCCTGTCTCCTCTTACAATGAATGGGACCCTCTGGAGGAAGTGATAGTGGGCAGAGCAGAGAATGCCTGCGTTCCACCATTCACGGTGGAGGTGAAGGTAACGCCAGGGACTCGGGGGTTTGGAAGTGGGTTCCCGCCGCTCCTCCTGCAGTGTGGTCTCTGCTCTCCCCTCCTCCATGACTGTTTTCATTTTAGCTTACTCCTTTCCCTCCCCAACTGAGAGTGATCACTCTGATAGCCGCCAGAAGATACTCCTTCACAGTCCACAGTGTTGGGTTGAACAGAATTTCACTTCCGGCCTCCTTTTAGCCATGCTCACAGCTTCAGCTCCCTCCTCCACTCTGGTCTAGTTCACTCTCCTGAATACCATCCAAATGACATGTTTAACTTTTTTTTTCAGTCTCTTTAAAAAAAAAGTTTTTATTTGAGAGTTACAGAGAGAGAGAGAGAGTGTATGTGTGTGTGGTGTGTCTTCCATCTGCTGGTTCACTCCCCAGGTGGCTGCAGTAGCTGGAGCTGATCTGATCAGAAGCCAGAAGCTTCTTCAGGGTTTCCCCACAGAGGGACAGGGGCCCAAGCACTTGGGCCATCTCCTGCTGCTTTCCCAGGCCACAGCAGAGAGCTGGATCAGAAGAGGAGCAGTGGGGCCAGCACTGCGGCGTAGCAGGTAAAGCTGCCACCTGCAGTCCCGGCATCCCATATGGGCATCAGTTTGAGTCCCAATTGCTTCACTTCTGATCCATCTCTCTGCTATGGCCTAGGAAAGCAGTAGAAAAATGGCCCAAGTCCTTGGGCCTCTGCACCCATGAGGGAGGCCCGGAGGAAGCTCCTGGCTCCTGGTTTCAGATAGGCTCAGCTCCGGCTGTTGCAGCCAACTAGAGAGTGAACCAGCAGATGGAAGACCTCTCTCTCTCTCTCTCTCTCTCCCCTTCTCTAATAAATCTAAAAAAAAAAGCCGGCGCCGTGGCTCAATAGGCTAATCCTCCACCTTGCGGCGCCGGCACACCGGGTTCTAGTCCCGGTTGGGGCGCTGGATTCTGTCCCGGTTGCCCCTCTTCCAGGCCAGCTCTCTGCTATGGCCAGGGAGTGCAGTGGAGGATGGCCCAGGTGCTTGGGCCCTGCACCCCATGGGAGACCAGGAAAAGCACCTGGCTCCTGGCTCCTGCCAGGATCAGCGCGGTGCGCCGGCTGCAGCGGCGGCCATTGGAGGGTGAACCAACGGCAAAGGAAGACCTTTCTCTCCTGTCTCTCTCTCTCACTGTCCACTCTGCCTGTCAAAAATAAAAAAAAAATAAAAAAAAAAAAAATAAAAAAAAATAAAAAAAAAAAAAAAAGGAGCAGCCAGGACATGAACCAGCGCCCATATGGGATTCCAGTGCCGCAGGCAGAGGCTTAGTCCACTACACCACAGCGCCGGTCCCATGTTAAACTTCTTAGTGGATTTTGCCACAGTACCTCAGACTCGATACATTTAGAGTTCAGTTGCCAGCCATCCAGCTAAACTGGAACCTCCTTCATCTCTTCTTTTAATTTTTTGGCATTCCTGTTTAATCAGCCTAAAATACCAAAGAATCATCTGATTCATGCTGCAGTCACGTCCTCTACATCTGTTCTGCAAGGTACAGCAGGTGTTTTATCAGAATGAATTTTGCCTCTGTTCCTCTGCTTCTGCCTTGGGCCAGGAGCTCACTGTAGTCAGTCATTGCATTATACTAGTGTAGTTCACTCTAACTGATCTTCTCTGTAGACCACCTTCTAGCTGCTATCAAAGTGATTCTTTCAATCCCAATTTAGTCATGTTACTCATCCTGCTCCCATCACTCCTTCTGCCATTCTGTGCCCCTGCTGCTTGGGATCAGGTCCTGGAATGCAGAAGCCTTCACAAGTTGGCTCTTGTCTGCATTTCCAGGACTCTGCATTTCAGTCATTGGCTCATCTTAGGGATGTGTTAGAATGACAGGGTAGCAGATATTCATTCTTTTCAGAAGACTTTATAAGACAACTATGAAAGTAGCCAAACTACTCACTGTTCCCTGATAGGTCCCATGCCTTTGCTCCCACCTAAGCCTCTTCCATCCTGTACCCTCTTCTCTGCCACCACCTGGCTCCAGTGCTTTCACAAAGCCTTCCAGAATTTCCCTGACAATGCATAATAGCTCCTCCAAAAAAGCAAAACTTTTTCTTGTTCTTTATCCATAGGATTCTTTTGTCTAGGGCCTTGATGGGTTGGTGTTCATGTTGCATATTGCATCAGAATCCCTTATCTCAGGGAGCTTCCTTCACATTTGTAGATAAAGCCAAAGCTTCCATTAATAATGGGTGACAAATTTATCTTCAGTACACTTAGGTCTTCCTGAATCTTTACATTTTCATTTGTAATGTGAATTGAGGGAATAATTTCTATAATTGCACCACCACCATCATCTGAAATATTGCCTGCCATGGGCCAGGATTCAGAGATACTGACACGAAAGAACTTCCCTTCTGTTTAGGGAGGTGTGATGTTCACATGGCAGTGAAGACTAAGTATTTGGTGCCCACCAGCTGGCAAGGCAGTTGAAGAGCCAGGAGAGCTAAGCAATGATCAAGTGCTGAATAGTTAGGAAGACTTCTTGTAGAAAATGAATTCTTGAATTAGACCTAGAACAAAGCAATAGAAAAAATAGTAATTTCTTCTAATTGTGATATTTGGAATCTGATGAACAGAATAGCTGACATGTCTACACGTGTTTTTAAAAAGCATGATCTTGGGGCTGGCGCCGTGGCGCACTAGATTAATCCTCTGCCTGCGGCGCAAGAATCCCATATGGGCACCAGGTTCTAGTCTCGGTTGCTCCTCTTCCAGTCCAGCTCTCTACTGTGGCCAGGGCAGTGGAGGATGGCCCAAGTGCTTGGGCCCTGCACCCACGTGGGAGCCCAGGAAGAGACACCTGGCTCTCCTGGCTTCGGATTGGGTAGCTCCGGCCGTTGTGGCCATTTGGGGGTAAACCAAAGGAAGACCTTTCTCTCTCTCTCTTTCTCTCTCACTGTAACTCTATGTGTCAAATAAATAAATTTTTAAAAAACTTAAAAATAAAAATAAAAAGCGTGATCTTCCACGCCCAGCTCGGCAGCACGTACACTAAAAAGCATCATCTTTCTACATCTTTTCTTGAAAAGAAGTCATCCTATCTAGTAACCATTTTAATTGGTAAATTCAGGCAAAAGTTTTTCATTTTACTTGTCTTTAAAATGATTGACTTTCATACTGTGTGAACTTATGGAATCAGGATTTTTAGGCATAATGAGCTCTTTGTCACTTGACTTCTGACTTCAGACTTTGTCGTTCCATAGACTTGTGTAAAGCGTACCATGCTGAAGTCAGGAGTCTGGGATGAATTAGGCATTTGATAAAAGCTTGATATCTAGTCTCTGTTAATCAACTGACCTTGTACAAGATTCCACAAATTTCTGGGCCTTGGTGAAATGGCAGTATTAAGCGGTTTGCTTTCCACCTAAGATGATTGAATATGAAGGCCATGTTTAATATTTTAAAAAACAATCTACAATTCATCATAGTTGTATGGCTCTAGTGTGCCAATTACGTTACAAAACACATTGAAAGTGAAATGGCTGTAAGTAAGTATTAGTAATATTAGCAGTACTGATTTCATTAATTTGGTTATTTCTGTTTTGTGTCTTATGTAAACTAAGCTAGTTATTGAGGGAGAAGAAGTACATGTAAGACATGCATCGCATCCACAAGGCAGGGCTTTGCCTTCTAGAATAGAAGAATGACACAGATTATTAATTGATTACGAATAATAAAAGATAAAATAACATAGTAAACTAGTTATTCACAACTAGAGCATAGGATGTTAGAAGATATAAGTGCTAGAGAAGTGTTAAGGAAAAGAATGATGAACACAGTTGTCAGGAAGCACAATTTTTTGTTTTATTTATTTGAAAGGCAGAGTGAGGGAGACAGAGAGAGAGAGAGAGAGAGAGAGATCTTCCATCTGTTGGTTTACTCTTCAGATGCCTACAACAGGTAGAGCTGGGTCTGGCAGAAGCCAGGAGCACAGAACTCCATCTGGGTTTTCTACATTGGTGGCAGGGGTCCAAGCACTTGGGCCATCATCTGCTGCCTTCCCAGGCAAATTAGAAGGGAGCTGGATCAGAAGCAAAGTAGCCAGGACTCAAGCTGGCACTCCAATAAGGGATGTGGATGTCCCAAGTGAGGCCACCTAACCCACTACACCACAATACCCACCCCCCATATGGCTTTTTATTCTATGAAACATACTAAATCTTTGCTGTACATGTATGCTTTTTGTTTTGCTCATCTTTTTTTTTACAAAGCTCTTAAAAAATGACCTTTTGTAAAATATAAGATTAATCAAAGTTAATGTTACAGTTACAGCTGGATAAATAGAAGTAAGTTTCTATGACATTTCTTAGCTTTCCAAAGACATTGTGTAAAAGTTCATTTGGAAACCCTGTAAAGGATTTCAGACTCTGAAAGACTATATTGTTTCTAGGAATGCTGCATCTCTGCCACAGATTATTAAAAATATCATATGCTAAGCATGTAATATAGTGCTTGTTATCTTGCACATGCCTGGTAAATGATTGCTAACTCATTATCAAGGTTATTAAGGAAGAGTAAACAATTTCCAAATATCTCTTGTAAAATAATTTGCCCTGATCATTTGGACTTTGTCCAACCTTTGCCAGATTATAAACTATACAAAAAGAAAAAAAAAGCCCTCACACTTGTTCAAATAACTTTTTTCCCCCAGGAGTTTACATTTATCAAAGCAAGCTTCACTTTGTACAAATAGTCACACAGGACATTTTGGAATGAGTCTGGCAAGACAACACAACCTCATCTGTTGTAACCCAGTGTTAAATTTTCAAAGGCTTCTTGTCCCTTTGTGGAGTGTGAGAGATGTGCCTGGCATGAGAAGCAGGAAGTGGTGAATGGTTGGGCAGTACCCAGGATGTGTCTGAGCAGAATATAAAGAGTCATATTACTTCTCTTTCTGGTTGCTGCTACAGAAATTACTAGGACTAAAACATAGTGGGATGTTTTGTCTTGTTTTTGAAAGAGAACATTGGTTTTAAAAAATATTTGGATGTTGTTTGACTATAGATCTTTAAAAGTAAGGAAGCAAGTTAATGATTCAAATAGAGGTCAGCAAACTTTTTCCATACATGGCTAAGTAATAAATGAGTTCAGGCCATAGAATCTGTTGCAGCTACTCAACTCTCATCCCTTCTAATTTGCCTGGGAAGGCAGCCGTAGACCAAGTGTAAGCAAATGAGCATGCCTGTATTCTCATAAAACTATTCCCACACGCAGGCCATGGGACAGATTCAGTGTGTAGACCTTAGTTTCCCAACCCCCTTTTTAGAGCTTCACTGGCATCCTTCGTACTTTCTAAAGATCTATTTTTCAGCTGCCTTTTCTCCTCTTCCAGGTTTGGTTCTAGCCCAGCTGATGATAATTCTAGATAACGAAGGAACAAGAGGCAAATCTGCCTGCATATCTTTGATGTTCAACAGCCTGAGGTGAAAATGGAAACAGGGAAACAAAATCTAGAAAATATATTTTTTAAAAAATATTTATTTATTTGAAAGGCAGAGTTACAGAGAGGCAGAGGCAGAGAGAGAGAGAGGTTTTCCATCTTCTGGTTCACTCCCCAAATGGCTGCAACAGCCTGAGCTGAGCCAGTCCGAAACCAAGAGCCAAGAGCTTCCTCCCACGCAGGTGCAGGGGCCCAACGACTTGGGGCATTTTCTGCTGCTTTCCCAGCCCATAGCAGAGAGCTGGATCGGAAATGGAGCAGCCAGGACTCAAACCAGAGCCAATATGGGATTCCAGCACTGCAGGCGGCGGCTTTACCCACTACGCCATAGTGTGGGCCCCAAGATACTGTCTTTGAAAATAAAGAGTAAGGTATCTAGACTTTTAGTCCATCTCAATGGGCAGATACCATTGGCAGCAACATGAACCATGCTAAACAATTCCAGTTTTAAAAGATTTTGCACATCTAGTTAAAAATGTTCAACCACTGGAACATATCCGAGTCCCTTTGTGTGTTTGGCACAATATCAGACAAAGAGTCAGTGCAGTTGAGTTCTGATCCTGCTTGTCCAGTGAACACATACTCTGAGAGCCTCTTTCCTTGCTTACAAAATCAGTGTGTGAGGATTTGCCCTGTCTCTTAGGATTATCCAGAACACCAACTGAGAGACCATGTAATTAAAGTATATTTGCTCCAATACACTTGAGCCCATTACCCAGTTTTACCCATATCAGAAATGATCTGTTTTAGGATGGAAATACTCCTATTGCCCATAGTCGGGACTGGTAGTTGGTCAGCCAATCAGTAATATAAAGAACCTTTGGGAAAAAAAAAAAAACAACTTGCTTTAAGTGTGTTTTTTAACTAAAAATGTAATTGTAATTTGCTTTACCAATCTTTTGGTGAAGTTCCAAGACTTTTTCTTAGAGAGTAGATTATCTAATTGGAGTTCTGCTTCATTACCCTGATAAATTATAAGTTGCATCACATTTCCCAATGTCTTTCTTTAAATTGACTGAAAATTTAGACACTTGTAAGATAATCCCAGTCTGGATCTTTCCAGATTTTTTTTTTTTTTTTTTTTTTTTTTTGACAGGCAGAGTTAGACAGTGAGAGAGAGACAGAGAGAAAGGTCTTCCTTTTTCCATTGGTTCACCCCCCAAGTGGCCTCCATGGCTAGTGCACTGCAGCCGGCGCACTGCGCTGATCCGAAGCCAGGAGCCAGGTGCTTCTTCCTGGTCTCCCATGTGGGTGCAGGGCCCAAGCACTTGGGTCATCCTCCACTGCCTTCCCAGGCCACAGCAGAGCTGGACTGAAAGAGGAGCAACCGGGACAGAATCCAGTGCCCCGACCGGGACTAGAACCAGGGTGCAGCGCCTCAGGCAGAGGATTAGCCTAGTGAGCTGTAGCGCTGGCCTCCAGATGTTTTAAAACCAGTATGTTATAGTTGTGCTTACCATAATCCAACAGTAATTTTTAACAAATTGAACAAGCCATTTTAAAATATTCAACTGTTTTCCATTTGGTTGTTTTGAAAGAAATAAAGATTTACTTACGTATTTGAGAGGCAGAGTGACTGGAGTGGGGGGAGAGAGAGAGAGAGGGAGAGAGAGAGAGATGAAGGAAGAAAGGGAAAGGGAGGGAAGGAGAGGGATATTTTCCATCTGCTGGTTCACTTTCAAAATACCTGTAATAGCCAAGGCTGGGCCAGGCTGAAGCCACGAGCCAAGGTCTCCCACACAGATGGCAGCAACCCAAGTACTCGGGCTATCACTGTTGCCTTCCAGACATATCAGTAGAAAGCTGGATTGGAAATGGGGTAGCCACGGCTTGAACCAGGCACTCTGATATGGGATATGGGCATCTCAAATTGCTTAACAGGCTGTACCAGAATGCCTGCCCTGGCTGTCTTTTAAAATGCATATAACCCCTGGGAACCTTCTAATGTGAAGCTTTTTTCAGCTGCTGAAAACTTGTAACTTGGTTTAAAAGATAATGTCTTTTTTTTTTTTAAGATTTATTTATTTATTTGAGAGGCAGAGTTTCAGAGAGGCAGAGGCAGAAGAGAGAGAGAGGTCTTCCATCCGCTGGTTTACTCCCCAGATGGCTACAACAGCTGGAGCTTTGCACATCTGAAGCCAGGAGCCAAGAATTCTTCCAGCTCTCCCACGCGGGTACAGGGGCCCAAGGACTTGGGCCATCTTCTACTGCTTCCCCAGGCCATAGCAGAGAGCTGGATCAGAAGTGGAGCAGCCGGGACACAGACTGGTGCCCATATGGGATGCTGGTGCTGCAGGCTGGGGCTTTAACCTACTGCGCCATAGCGCTGGCCCCAAGATCAATGACTTTTATGACAAAAGGATCTGAAGCAAAGTGGGAGCTTAGATAGGTTGGGGAAAGGAAAGGTATGGTTGATGTGAAACACATCGACTGGACAGTACCAAAGGCAGACTTGTACTGCCATATAAATTTGCCAAATTCTCTTAAATGGGAAAATCAATAATGGATTTTAAGAAAAACAAAGCATTTTTCTAAGTATGTCCCTAACCTTAACAGGAAGAGGCTATCATTTTTTGACCCCCACAAAATATTTAGAAGTACCATTTTCCAGACAGAATACTGGAATACTGGGATAGCCCATGGTTTGGGCTTAGTATCGGATTTTTATCTCATGCTATTTTGTTGTTGTTGTCTTGTTTAATTTTGTTGAGAACTCTCAGATGGGAACACCTGTGTCCTGTTCTTTGGTGAAGCATGGTAAAAAGTGGCACTGAGAATGCCAAGCCTGACTGAGGGCATACACGCTGTGAGTGGTTGAGCACAGGATCTCAGGCAGGAGAAGCAAAAGGCCTGAAAATATCAAGATAATTTAGAGTTCTTCACTCCACAAATATTGGGTGTCTTCCCAGAGCCAGTATGCTCCATGCTGTGGATCAACACTGAACAAGACGTGATGGACTCAATTCATCATAAAGAGGTTGTTCACCACTCCTGAACATCCATGAGCTGTGTTTTTCTCCTATAAGTATTTCATTTCATTTCCTCTACTTTTAGGCCAACACGTATGAAAAGTACTGGCCATTTTACCAGAAGCATGGAGGTCATTATTTCCCAAAGATCACTTGAAAAAGGCTGTTGCCGAAATTGAAGAAATGTGCAATATTTTAAAAATGGAAGGAGTGACCGTGAAAAGACCTGACCCCATTGACTGGTCATTGAAATATAAAACTCCTGACTTTGAGTCGACTGGTAAGTGATGGGGATAACTCTAACTGCTAGTCTCTCTCTCTCTCTTTTTTTTTTAAAATATTTATTTATTTATTTGAAAGGCAGAGTTATAGAGAGGCAGAGGCAGAAAGGAGAGGTCTTCTCTATCCATTGGCTCACTCCCCAGATGGCCACAAAGAACTGGTGCCCATATGGGATGCCGGTGCTTCAAGTGGCAGTTTTACCTGCTACACCACAGTGCCTGCTCCTGATTCTTTTGGTATGATTAAAATACATACATTCTAAGCTCCCTTGTAAATGTAATGGAATCTCCTTGAGAGAAGCAGTTTTCCTAAAACTTTCTAGTTTTTTCCCTTTTATGGCAACAGTGGGTTACATTTAATTTTCCTCAAGAACAGATATTAAGAGGGAATACAGGCCAGTGCCGCGGCTCAATAGGCTAATCCGCCACCTAGCGGCGCCGGCACACTGGGTTCTAGTCCCGGTCGGGGCACCGGATTCTGTCCCGGTTGCCCTCTTCCAGGCCAGCTCTCTGCTGTGGCCAGGGAGTGCAGTGGAGGATGGCCCAGGTGCTTGGGCCCTGCACCCCATGGGAGACCAGGAGAAGCACCTGGCTCCTGGCTTTGGATCAGTGTGGTGCACAGGCCGCAGCGGCCATTGGAGGGTGAACCAACGGCAAAGGAAGACGTTTCTCTCTGTCTCTCTCTCTCACGGCCCACTCTGCCTGTCAAAAAAAAAAAAAATCTATTTTATTTCTGATTCAATGACTGTTCTTGTGCCTGAGGACTGTGTTCTAATTTATAGTTCTAGAATGATTCTTGACTCAATTTTTATCTTGTGATACTGATATCCCTTAAGGAAATCTATTCCTATATACAAGAAAGAGCTTAGAGGCCGGCGCCACAGCTCACTTGGCTAATCCTCCACCTGTGGTACCAGCACCCCGGGTTCTAGTCCTGGTTGGGGTGTCTGATTCTGTCCCAGTTGCTCCTCTTCCAGTCCAGCTCTCTGCTGTGGCCCAGGAAGGCAGTGGAGGATGGCCCAAGTGCTTGGGCCCTGCACTTGCATGGGACCAGGAGGAGGCACCTGGCTCCTGGCTTCGGATTGGCGCAGCGCGCCGGCCATAGTGGCCACTTGGGGGTGAACCAATGGAAGGAAGACCTTTCTTTCTGTCTCTCACTGTCTAACTCTGCCTGTCAAAAAAAAAAAAAAAAAAAAAAGGAGCTTAGAGAAGATGAAGGCTTGATGGTTCAAGATCTTTTGAATTACTTATTATTTAATTTTTGTTTTCCTTTTGCTTGGTTTCCTCATCCCTATATAGAATTCATGTTAATCTAATATACTTC